AAAAGAGTAGGATCCCAGGACTTACTCATCCCCTAGACTGCCTCCTTGTTCCTGATAGCCTCACTTCTCTCAGGGAGTGACTGTATCCTCCTTCCACTACAGCTCCCTGTTTCAACCTCCTGGCTTTACAGTGCTGTCCCAGCCTATTTCCAGCTGGGCTTCACTTTCAATTAATGTTGGCCCTCCCTCTTGCAGGTGATACCAGGAAATCTAATTGGCCTCTCAGGCCTTTGTTAACCCTATCGGGGCTGGTGTGGGGTATACACCCCATCACATTATGCTATTCTGTTCTACCCTTTAATCTATTAAGGAGGATTTTGGAGAGCATGCTATGATTGTTTAATGTCAACATTGCTTTTATCTTCTGCAAACATAGGTTTGTCAAAGGCCTTTTTCATTCAAAGTCCAGTTTTATTTGTGAATCATTACAAAAAAACCTGACCTGAGGAAGAGCTCCGTGTAGCTCAAAAGCTTGTCTTATTCACCAACAGAAGCTGGTCCAATAAAAGATATTACCTTACCCACCTTGTCTCTATTACAAAAAAAGTCATTATGAATTTTGCTCTGTTGCGTTTTGAAGGGTGCCTCAATTTTAGGGCTTTAATATTGAGTTGTTTTTAATGTACCCCAACAAGGTGGATTGGATTGGACCTGTGCCAACATCCAAACAGGAAAACAAATATTTATTAGTTGTTATTTGTCTTTTTACAAAATGGGTGGAGTGCTTTGCAGCCCCCAGTGAAACTTTTGTCATCACATTTCTTTTGGTGAATAATGTTTTTACCAGGTAGAGATTGCCCTTGACATAGGCACTGACTCCGTGGCTGCTAAAAAAAAATGGTGTTGCTCAACATCCACCAGCAGCCTCCCAATTAGCTCCCCCCCCCCAGTGCCTCCCACCCACTGGCAGCCCTGGCGATCAGCGCCTGCCCATCCCTCGCAGCACCTCCTGTGTGCCGATGATCAATTGTTCAGTGGCATGCAGGAGGCGCTCAGGAGGAGGGGGAAAGAACGAGGGTGGGGGCGCGCTTGGGAAAGAAGCAGGGCAGGAAGAGGTGGGGTATGGGTGGGTTCTTGGGGAAGGGGTGGAGTGGCAGTGGGGCTAGGGTGAAGCACCTCCAGCACATTAGAAAGTTGGCACCTCTGGCCCTTCAGAATAGAATCTGACAGAGGTTCCATATTGCATTAAGTAACACTGCTAATAAAATGACTCAATGGTTATTTACCCAAGAGGACCCAGATGGAGAAAATCAGAAGTTTAACAGAGAATTTAATGAGGCAAACCAGCACCAGCATTGAAAATGTAAAAAGCAACTGAATACCATCATATTGGGTACTGGCTGAGATGATAAAGTAAATAGTAAGTAAAGATACTACCAAGAAAATAGGCCTTGAGCAATAGGTGTAGCCTCCAGGGTAGAAGATGTGACACCCATTTATGTTAATAAAGAAAATTAGAGATTAGATTGCATGTATCATCAGCATACCTTATGTTGAGCCTGGAAATATTTACTTGCTCCAAATAGTTCATAATGTGGGAATATGGCAAGGTCCTACATAGTAAGATGGTTACCCCTGGCATGGGTGCCCATTGTGAAGATATGAATAACACAGAGGATTATTTAGTTCCAAGCACAGAGGCAAATAAATCCAGTGGACTGGATATAGGAGGGTGATCCATGTGTGGGTAATTCAAATGATTCATTATATGGTCTTAGTTTCCAAGCAACAGTTGAAAAGAATGGAATGAGTTTGGCTAAAGCTCTTGAAGGAGAGCGAGTAGTAGGCTCTCTTCTGGTTAAACGGTGGCCAATTAGCACAACCTTTAAGTAGATGAGTATGAAAAACAAAGTAAAGAGTGTAAGAAGTAACATTTCCTTGCCATATGAAGTGTGTCTGATTACTTCCAAGGGGATTCTTGCTTTACCTTGGGGAAAAGGATTTTGTATTCCTTGGAGCATAAACCAATGAAAGGTAAGCTGCAACTTGCAGATATTTATAAGGGGCAAAAGGTACCAATAAGCTCTGAACTACACACTTTGCTAGGTTTGAAGGATTCAAAGTACTTATGGAGTCTGAGCAGATCAAATTTGGGGCACAAGACTTACAGACCCTAAGACACGATTATTTTTATTATTGGGGTATGGCTGCTGCTATTCTACCTGTAGTTAACACTTATGATTGAGGTTGATTATTGTATTTCGGGTATATTTGGTTAAGGAGAAATTAGCGCAAAGTTCACTTTGACATAGGAGACAACAAATGCTCCAACATTCCCTTCAATCCTAGCATCTTTGGCACCTTCAACCTTGAGATGCCCAAGATTATGTGGAGCATCTCCAGGAGCTGAGATTTATCCAGCATATACACCATGAATATCCAATGTCTATGGCCTATCCTTATCTTTTACCTTCATAGGAGGTCCTGGATCCCCTTCAAGCATCTCAGATCTTTATGGATCTATATAGTCAGACGCTTCTGGTCCACCTAGGGCAAACTACGGCCCACGGGACCATCCTACCTGACCCTTGGGCTCCCAGCCAGGAAGGCTCGCCCCCGTCCCCTCCCCTGCCGTCCCCCCTCCCCCGCAGCCTCAGCACTCTGTGCTGCCAGCCCTCTGGGCAGCATGGCTGCGAGAGCCGCCGGCCTGTCCTGATGCTCTGAGCGGCATGGTAAGGGGATGGGGAGTGGGGGGGTTGGATAAGGGGCAGGGGGGCCCGGGGGGCAGGGAGCAGGTGGTGGTTGGATAGGCATGGGACTCCCAGGGGGCCTGTCAGGGGGTGGGGCTGTGGAAGGGGGCAGGGCAGTCAGTGGACAAGGAGCAGGGGGTTTGGATGGGTCGGGGGTTCTGAGGGGGGCAGTCAGGGGGTGGGAAGTGGGAGGGACCGGATAGGGGGCAGGGGCCAGGCTGTTTGGGAGGGCACAGCCTTCCCTACCTGGCCCTCCATACAGTTTTGGAACTCCAATGTGGCCCTCAGGCCAAAGAGTTTGCCCACCCGACCTAGGGCCTCCCTGTTCATTGGAAACCTATAAATTCTAAAGCCAAAAAGAGCAAAATCCCACATGTGGCCTGGATCTTCAGGCCCCCAAGGTTCATAGTTTCAATCTACCCTTATGGGAACATCACCTACAGAGCAATAATTCAATGAGTTGACAAGAAATTATGGGTGTGCTGCAACCTGGGTTTTAGGGTTTTACTTCGTTTCGCTTTTACACAATGCTGCAATAAAAGTGTCTAAAATAGTTTACCCTTAAGCCATGATAAATGAATTCGATTTGATGTTCTATGCACAATCAACATTTAATTGTACCAGCTTAATATATGTAAAACCAAGGTGCTTACCTTCAGCTGAAGATATAAAGTTTATTTTATTGTTTTTCTGAAACACAAGTAGTCATACCAATGTTTTCTCGTATCTGACAAAAATAATGCAAAGCCAATTTTAGTTTACAGACAATTAATGTTAATGTAGAAGATGTTACCATTTTATATTTACATTGTTCTAGTCCTGGTGGGGTTCTAGAATTTCAAACAAAGGCTGGGCCATAGGGCTGTCCTTATGCTCCTCCTCTGAACTGTTGCTGATTTAGTGTTGTTTTTGCAGGCACCTGAGCATCAGCACAGGTAAAGTAAACTCCATGTTTCTCATGGGGGTAATGAAGGAATCCATGTTTCCAGATGTGGTCTTCAAACAAGATAGCCTCTCTCCTAGTGTCATGGCTTCCAGGGCAGTGTTACTCAACAACCAATGGTTAAGAGCTGGAAAGTGGGTTTCTGGCCTAGGTACTTGGTTTGGCTGATGGGAGGCCCCCTCAATACACCAACAAAATCCCTTATCTGAGCCTACAACTCTAAATCAAAACTGATTGAGGGGAGCACAGATCATCTGCAGAATGCTATTTCATATCCATCTGCTCTTTGGTTGGTCCATAGCGAGGCTCAGGGTCACATTTACCTGAAGAAGTGAAATATTCATCCACAACACATGCTCCATAACCCAGTCTGGCTGAAGATGGCAGGTGTCTTCCAGAGCTATGTGCTGTGGAAGAACTAAAGGCTTGAACCATGCTGCCTATATCAGGCATGAATCTAGGAGCCCTGTGCCTATGGCCACATATGCAGCCAGAGTGTACCATCCTTCCAGGACCCAGGCATTTGAGAGGGAAGAGGCTGTGGAAGGGGGCAGGGCATATTGCTAAAGTTGGCATAGGGTCCCCCCAGAAAACTCACTCCAGATGGCACTGATGGACTCTTGTGCTGATCCTGGAACAGATTAAATTGCACAGGTCTTAAAAAGTTGTAAGCTGGAGGGCCTGTGCTCCAGCAAGGAGATAGGATGCTGGCTGAAGCTTGTAGGTAGTTTTGAGTCCCCCTCACCTTCTGTCCCTGCCAACCACCCACCACAACCACTGCTGCCTTTTGCTGCTCCTTCCCTGCTTGGATCAAGCAGGGGCCTAGTTTCCTGCCAGGTTCCACAGCAGCTTTTAGTGGCTGGAGGAGGAAATGCAGCTCCCGCCTGTAGCTCAGTCAAGTGTGTGACAGGCTGAGCTGCAGGGATGAGGACAGAGTTACCAGATGTGTGACATTTGGCAGCCCTGCGTTCTCCCTTCTGTGAAGTGGGGCTAATGCCCAGCTTAAAGCACTGAGACTGTTAGAAGGTGAGCAATAGTGGCAAGGCCAAAGAGTGAGGCAGAGCTGAAATAAGACCATAGGCTGATGAGGGTACTTGGATGAGGATCTCAAACATGAATACCTCCATTTACAGATGGATAAAGAGAGGTGCAAACAGGTAAAGTAACTTCCCCAAGGCTACACATACTACATGATAGAACTGGGAACAGAACCCAAGAGTCCTGACTCTCAGTCCCCTCCTCCATGCACTAGACTATGTTCCCTCCCATTAAAAATGGATCTCTTTCTGCTCTGATTTCACATACCCACTGGCATAAGTAACAGAAACACTAGCCAGGTTCCTTACATAGAAAGGCAAGCCACTCAGTTTAAATGGACTTTGTTTTAATTCACTTATTTAGAGGCAACTGTCATTATTTCCTTAGGGTGGCGGGGGGAAGGGCAAGGATATACAACAATGCACCATATTGTTTTCACTAGCCTGGGGGAGAAAACACACACAGTATGTGTGTATGTGCATGTGTGTATACATACAGAATAATACATCTATATATACACAATATATATATATACACACACACACACACTTTGCCTAGATTTGTTTACAAAATATGTAGCATTTTCATACCATCCAAAAAAAGTACATGATTTTAAACAAATTCTATAGAAATGACATGTTATTGGTAATTTACATTTAAAATCTAGCACAAAAAATCCAAATGACAAAACAAGATTTTGCTACTAATCAGTGCTTCTAGAAAGAGTTCAGTTCAAGTTACCCTTCAAGAAAGAGAAACAGTTATTTATCATATGATGTAAAGGCAACACAGAGGGGTTTTGTTTTGTTTTTAAATTAATCACCTCATTTAACCTTTAAAATTACAAAGAATTTAAGTCAATTTACAGGTCAAGTGCAGTAAACAAAATGTTCCTTGAGCACAAAGCAGCACTAGAGAAAGTAACAGGGAAGGTGGAGGCTGATTGGATTAGAAAGGGAGGCAACAGGTGGCTTTCTTCAATGTCCACACATCAGTTTCCATCCTAAAGCACAGGTTCTAATGAAGACTATGTTTAAAGAAGGGGTCACACAGAGTTAATGCTTAGGCCTTTCAGCAGTTTGATAAATGCTTTTTTTAAACCTGTATCCTGTGAGTGGTTGAAGCTCTTGCAGGGGCTCGTCATTGAATGAAGCCGTAAGAAGGATCTTGTAGACAGTTCTGCCAATAGGATTTACCACAGACGCATGACACTTGCTGTAGGGGCAACTTTTGAAACATTTACTCTGGGGAAAAGGTGTATTCCAAAGGTCCCAAATGGTTTGAGAGAATGTAGCCCAATGAATCCATTACATTCAGAAATTGAACTGCCACCTTTGCATTAGATGCTTGTGATCCAAGCAGGCTGCAGAGTCAAAAACATGCTGCTAGCAGAGGGGCTGACTATAGCTGTAAATTACAGCAGTCACACACTCAGCAATGCCTTACAAGTGCAGCCTACAGGAACCATTTATTCCATGCTAATTCATCTGAGGCCATGAGAGTAGTGAGGGGAAAATGGAAAAATGGGATGTAGTATCACAGTATATTTGTTAAACAGACCTTGACCAGGAGGTTTCTATTTTATGGGGTGGGCTGGTAGGGACATTAAACAGGAAGCTCTACTTCATGAGACTGAAAGTAGTCAGGAGAGCTATCACTACAGAGTCCTCCTTGCGCTGACAGTTTAGCACGCTAAGATTTTACATCAAAAGGTAATTTACAGAACAGAAACCAGTTCAAGTTAAGCTGCATAGAAAAATGTAAAGGGTGGATGAGTGGGTAGAGATATATCATCTGTGACTAAGCTAGTGAGGACCAGAATCAGAAGCATGAAGTTAGGAAGGGTTCAACTTTAACAAAGAGGCCACATTGTGTTAGGGATGGGGCAGTATGGTAGTTTCTCCATTTTAGAAGCCAGTTACAAAAGTTGCTTTTAGGGAGGTGATAAGACTGACCTACTCACAAGTCCTTTTTGGGTTGAAAGGAGAGAATGAGAAAAAGTCCAGATCTCCGAAGTGGCCTGTGGAGTCCAGATAGGGAGCTCAGTTTTGTAACGGGACAGGTTCAGTTGTGTTCAATGTGTCTAGTAACTAGAAAGCATGTCCACTGGAGGCAGTAGTTGCAGGGGACAGAGTTTACTCCAATATCTGTGAAGTGTTCCATATGCCAATGCCCAGGCTGGCACATAAAGCAAAATAATTAATCTGACACATTTTATGTCAGGACTGAATGCAGCTCAGAAAGGTATCCAAGGAGGCACCCAAGGAAGAATATGGGAAGGGAACTCAGGTAGATGGGGACAGTAAGGGGTTACGGAATCACTCCAAGGGTGACTCAAGGCTTTACATGAGGACTGTCTGGGTGGAGGAACAGATGGCATGGGGCACCTCAGAGCTGGAAGCCCTCCATGGGAGCCTCACACTGCTGGAAGATGTACTGCTGCTGGCTGAGATCCACTTGTGGGGCAATACTGCTGTCCTCGTCCTCTGACCCAAAGTAGTGCTCAATCAGATCAAAGGCCTTCTGATAGATATCCTGGTTCTCATGGCTCTGCAAGAATTCAATCTTATCCAGGCCTATATGGGAAAGAAGCAAACAAAAAGCACAGGTCAGTCCAGGACAGACAGACATGCTCTCCCCATCCCACCTGCTAGAGCAGGGGTGGGCAAACTTTTTGGCCTGAGGGCCGCATCGGGTTTCATAAATTGTATGGAGGGCAGGTTAGGGGAGAGGGTCGTTGCCCGGCCCCCACCTCCTATCTGCCCCCCCTCCGACCCCCGCTGCCCCATCCAGCCCCTCCTCTCATTCCTGACTGCCCCCCGAGACCCCTGCCCCCATTCACCCCCCTGTTCCCCCATGACCCCTATCTACACCCCCGCCCTCTGACCACCACCCTGGACTCCCCTGCCTTCTATCCAACGCTCCCGCTCCGTGCCCCCTTAACACGCTGCCTGGAGCACCACTGGCTGGCGGTGCTACAGCTGCATCACCGCCACCACGCAGCACAGAGCAGTGGGTCAGGCCGGGGTCTGCAGCTGCGCTGCCCCAGGAGCTCACAGCCACGCCGGCGGCGGAGCAAGCAAGCTGAGGCTGCGGGGGAGACAGTGGGGGAGGGGCCGGGGCTAGCCTCCCAGGCCAGGAGCTCAGGGGCCGGGCAGGATGGTCCTGCAGGCTGTAGTTTGCCCACCTCTGCGATAGAGAGAACAAGCTTCTGCACCTCCAGAAAGAGCTCCATTGCAGAAGCTCTTCTCTCTCCCACCACAACCAAAAAGACCAGGTTCCATTACATAAGTTCTTTGTCTCCCATTGCACAACCAGATCATGAGGTAAAGCTCTGAGGATCTGAATAGCAAAGCCTGGAAACATTTTCATGATTAGACTGTGTCGGGAGTATGCTTGCTGTAGTAGTGTTCACACAGTGCTTCTGTGTGCTGGACCCATTACTCTGCATGTTTAATGCAGCTGAACTACTGCAAACAGTGTTTAAAGTGACCTTGAAAAAAGTGTGTGTGTGGGTCTATCACCTTCTCACCTGCCTGTCCTCCAGCTCCGCAATTAATTCTGTTAACCAACACCCAAATCAATGCTGTCCCCACATCAATTCTGCTCCCTCCATTCCCCCACTCATCAGTTCTGCCCCAAACAGCCCCACCTCTGCTCCTCCTTGGTACTTCACTTCCCTCTCCCAGCCATGGGAGGACTGCAGTGGTGGACCCCTTCTCCCACTTCCCAGACCAGGAGAGGAATAGAGGAGCTGGCCCATCATTCACAGGAGAGGGGGGAAGAAGGGAGCAGAGCTGCTGGGCTCTTTCTGCTTCCTCCTCCTCTCCTGTGAGAATGGTATTAGTTCCAGAGGAAAACTCTGGCTGTTTTCTGCAGTAGGTCTAATTAGCTGCTCTTCCCCAGGAACTGGGCAAGTAGGGAAAGCAGCGAAGCAGAGGGACAGTTCCCCAGGGCAGTATTAAAAATGTGCATTGCACACAGAGTCATGACAAAATCAGGCCTGGTAGTCTGGAAGCCACTACACCATTTTCAGATGCGCTGTCTGCATCTTATCTGTAACATCAAGCGGGCAGAACAGGATACCAAGCATCAAAGTCCTGGACCAGTACTGCATAATTAGTGTTGAATCCCTAATCATACAGGCACAGCTTCGCTGGGCTGGTCACCTTGTGGATGTGATATGTGATTCCCCCCAAGCCATATTTTATGGACAGTTGAAAAAGGGAGCACGTATACTGGAAGGCCAATGTAAAAACAATATAAGGACACACTCAAAGTTCATCTAAAAGTTGCCCAAGTTAATCCAAACAGATGAGAAGCTGCTGCCAGATCAGGATGGTGGCAGAGCCATCGAGAATAGCAGAACAGAAAAAGGCAAAGAGAAGAGTGAGCAAAGAAAGCAGACTGTGGCAAACCTGTGTGGCCACATCTGTCTGATGTGTGGATATATCTGCGGAGCCCTCATTGGTTTACATTCATACAAAAGACACCCTGAAACAAACTGACTCTCATACGTTGACTAGGACAGGAAACTCCACCTGTGTCCAATTCTGGGCACCACACTTTAAGAGAAATGTGGACTAACTGGAGAGGAACAGAACGATAAAAGGTTTAGAAAACTTGGCCTATGGGGAAAGGTTAAAAAACCTGGGCATGTTTAGTTGATAAAAAGTCTGAGTGGGGACCTAATAACAGTCTTCAAATATGTTGAGGGCTGTTAAAAAGAGGATGGGAATCCGCTATTTTCTATGTCCACTGAAGGTAGGAGAAGCAGCAATGGGATTAATCTGCAGCAAGGGAGATTTAGGTTAGATATTAGGAAAAACTTTCTAACTAGAAGGGTAGTTAAGCTCTGGAACAGGCTTCCAAGGGAGGCTGTGGAATCCCCATCACTGGAGGTTTTAAAGTACAGGTTAGATAATAATCTGTCAGGGATGGCCTAGGTTTACTTGGTCCTGTCTCAGTGCAGGGGGCTGGACTTGATTTATCAAGTTCTCTTTCAGCCCTATATTTCTACAATTCTATAAGATGATACCCTCCCCCTCTCTGAGTACAGCCTTTCCCTAAGTAGGCCACAATCCAGCTATTGTTTAAGAAATTATTGCTCAACATAACTGAGCTCTCCAGCTATCACTCAGTATTTAATATCCCAGTTTCATTTATCTTAGCATTTTATAGAGTCCATCACCATAGTACCTAAGCACTACTAATAAGAAAGCTGAGAAGCTCAGCAAAGATTGAACTCCAACTTCATCTACATGCTATTAATATCCTGGACCATTACCAGTTAGGCCTAGGCAGAAAAAGATACTGGTGATGGCAGACTGAAGAGGATCAAGGATAAGGGCCAGATATGCAAATTCATATGGCTGGACCTCTTCATAGCAATTAATATAGTTGGCTATGGAATCCTGCTGTTCAGTCTCAGAAATATGGCAGGGATTAGTAGAACTGCCTGTGATGGGTTCAACTGTTTCTCTTTGGCTTCATCCGGACTGTCCTGATGGGCATCAACTCCTTCAACTTCAAATCGCTCACCTGTGGGATTCAGCATTTAATGCTAAGAGGCAGGGAAACAGCATGAACTAAAATGCCAGCAATACACAGATGACACTCAGATTCTTTGAGACTTGCCAGGAACTAAAAGACAGGCACTGCACTGGAAACCAATTAGAACAGTACTAATGTGGAGACAAAACAAACCTGCAGATGCTCTTAACATTGGATTAACACAATTAATGTGGATATACTGAACCATTTGTGATCAATCTGGTTCAATTAGAATGGTCCAAATTCTCTAAACCCAATTCTGACAATCCAGAAACTCAATGGAGGCAACACCAAACTTGTCAGATGGAAGTAGTACTAAGCCCTGGCTGGTAAGGAAATGGATTGCCCAGTAGAGTAAAAGGTCAGGGAACTTTTCTCCCAACACCAAATTTGAGGCACCAAAACTGCCCATTTATGTCACCAGGAAGGCTTCCAGGAATACTAAATATTGGCTAAATACTGGAAAATATGGATCCTTTTCCCCCCACTGACAGCTATTGTGAGCGTGCCCATATTATTTTCCAAGATCCTCAGAAAAGAGAATAGGCTAAAAGAAAAATATCACATACTGGAAGTGACTGTGTTACAGACAGAAAGAGGTCCCTTTTCCAGGAAGCACAACAGTGCTTCATGATTCCTCCAAGCTATCTAGGGTGCTTTGCACCCTGTCCATCAGCGCCCTCAGATCATTAGGATCAAAGCCTACTCCTCACTAGTATCAGACTCAGAGGAGTGGGGTGAGTTCTCCATCCCCTAAGGACAACACCTTTGCCCCTTTGGAGTGTTGGCATTTCCATGTTTTTGAGGATGTTTTAGACATCCTGTTAGGGAGTACAGAGGAATCTAAAGGGGAAGGAGATTCAAGGCAGACACTGTAGAATGCACCAAGTCAGAGCAGACGGCTGGATGGAAGAGGGACCTTGACTTCATGCAATTGATCATAGATTATCAGGGTTGGAAGGGACCTCAGGAGGTCATCTAGTCCAACCCCCTGCTCAAAGCAGGACCAACCCCCAGACAGATTTTTACCCCAGTTCCCTAAATGGCCCCCTCAAGGATTGAACTCACAACCCTGGATTTAGCAGGCCAATGTTCAAACTATCAAGCTATCCCTCCCCCAAAAGGTCATCAAGTCCAGCCCCTGCCTTCACTAAAGACATGGAATGAAGGACCTCATTTAAGTACATAAAAACCTTAAATCTGATAGGGAGGTAAGCGGGCACACAGTAGTAGAATCATATCAGGGTTGGAAGGGACCTCAGGAGGTCATCTAGTCCAACCCCCTGCTCAAAGCAGGATGAATCCCAAACTAAATCATCCCAGCCAGGGCTTTGTCAAGCCTGACCTTAAAAACCTCTAAGGAAGGAGATTCCTTAGAATCTTAGACCCACCTCCCTAGGTAACCCATTCCAGTGCTTCACCACCCTCCTAGTAAAAAAGTTTTTCCTAATATCCAACCTAAACCTCCCCCACTGCAACTTGAGACCATGACTCCTTGTTCTGTCATCTGCTACCCCTGAGAACAGTCTAGATCCATCCTCTTTGGAACCTCCTTTCAGGTAGTTGAAAGCAGCTATCCAATCCCCCCTCATTCTTCTCTTCTGCAGACTAAATAATCCCAGTTCCCTCAACTTCTCCTCATAAGTCATGTGCTCCAGCCTCCTAATCATTTGTGTTGCTCTCCACTGGACTCTTTCCAATTTTTTCACATCCTTCTTGTAGTGTGGCACCCAAAACTGGACACAGTACTCCAAATGAGGCCTCACCAATGCCGAATAGAGGGGAATGATCCCATCCCTCGATCTGCTGGCAATGCCCCAACTTATACAGCCCAAAATGCCATTAGCCTTCTTGGCAACAAGGGCACACTGTCGACTCATATCCAGCTTCTCGTCCACTGTAACCCCTAGGTCCTTTTCTGCAGAACTGTTGCCTAACCATTTGGTCCCTAGTCTGTAACAGTGAATGAGATTCTTCTGTCCTAAGTGCAGGGCTCTGCACTTGTCCTTGTTGAACCTCATCA